ACTACATTTGTTATCATCGGCAAAACAACTTGTAACTGATCATCACTTAATCTCCTGAAACACGCATCACTGGTCAGACACTTTTTATCTCAAAGATGGTTGTGAATTATCTTAGATGAACCTATTATGTACCTGTTGAGATCAAAATGAAAACGAAAAATGGCTTGGCAGCAGGTAAACTTTGATCTATATAGACATAGGTCTAATAACAGTATTTACCCTTTCACTCTCTAGCCATGGCTCTCCGGCTTCCCTATATGACCGAACAATAGAAATGTACAACATACTGATAACGGATTTCCGGCTTTTCATTGTTCAGCCTGCTTTCACGCACCACGTAATGCGTCCAAATCATCTAATAATATTATATGACATATTTTCAATAACAAATCATAATCAATAGATCGATGGCATCTCTTAGTCCAAGGTTGTTAGGTGCCTGGGTCTCGTAATCCTTACGAATACATCACTGGTATCCACAACAACTGGACACTCAGTATTAGTTTGACTCGTTGATGAAAGAGGTTTATCCACAATACTAAGGAGAATGAGGAACCGAAGATCATTTTCTTTCATGGCTCCCGAAATTACGGACCGTAGTTAAATTTATTTCCAGTCCTCTTAAAGGGAGTTTTCAAATAGGATAGACATCACATGGAAATCTTTTATTATTTACCGTCCAATAGGCGAAGATTATATAATATTTTGATCTATTTCAGAAAAAAATGACAAAAATATCGACGTGCAAATATAAATGTTTGATAATCAGGGAATAAAAACTTGAATGTTGAATGGTTAAGATTTTAGAATGAATTATTATTAAGAAAAAACCACCTTAATTTCCAGTCAGTCCGATTCGTTGTTTTTTCATGTTCAAAACAATTTAATGTTGATTATTTTTCGCTGAATAGAATCAATGTTTTCCTATGTAACGACATTAACAAAAATTGTTAGGTGTCCATTCATCAATTCAAATGTCAACAATTTTCAATCCAACCATTCCTAATTTTATTTCGATTCTATTGTTATTTCTTGATTTTAAATTCCCTTTGATTAGAAAAATTTCATTCAAAAAATTTTGTATTTTATTTTAGGCTTTTGAAATAATTGGTTTTATTCATTGCGAAACAAAATTTAAATAGTTAAACAAAAATCATGAAAGAAACTTTTCTAGATCTGAAAAGATTTTTTAAGCGAATTATTTTGCTAAGAAAACAGACAATCTTTGACGGTATATAAAGTAAGGAAGCTACTGAAGATAGATAACATGGCGTTTTGATTCATAATTTCGTTGTATCTGATACGCATCAGAATAAAGGATCAACATTCGTTATGAGACTAATATCCTTTTATATGACTTTAATTCATATCATTCATTTTCATAATGCAGAATATTATCATTGGGGCATCCAAGGCGTAACTGGTAACTAATAGGACTGAAATGTTTACATGGATTAGTCACTGAATAGTAGTAGTAACCAAAATATCATGCTATTCAATCTTGAGCCTTATTCAATTATGATTTTCAATGTGATCATCCAACTAAAAAACAAAATAGATTTTGTCTAAATTTAAATAGCTGAAAGTAATCACCCGGAAGGCGACAATTAAAGTTTCCTGATAATTGGCGTTAATCAATCAGAAATACCTTCAATCTGAAGTCTGACAAAGGGAACCGTAATATCAAGATACATGGCCTTACTAGGAATACTTCAATTTGACTGATAGAGTTTTATCAAAACTAAGGCTAAGATAACATGAAATTGGTCACTGATCAGTGATCTTTTAGTGCATACATTTAAGTTCCATTCTTAGTTGCATACGATACGTTCAGAAAGGTCACTGTTTGATTTCGAAAAACGTGGTATTTTATGGTTTACGTCACAAATTGACTTTAGTTAGACAACGAATAAAAACTGGGGAACACTGGGTAGACGTTTCATCCTAGTATGAAATTCCTTAGCTGTGGGAATCTATGATCCCATAAGGGGTCAAACCCAAGACCTCCAGGACTCACAATTAGATCTTGGCCGTTAGGCTAATGAGTTGACATCCAGTAGCTTACAGTTTTAGTTCTAATCAATTCACGATATTGCACAAAGATCTCAGAGAAATTCGACATTTCTAGGTTCAGTCCCTGGTAGAATCGCAGTTGTGCACTACTAATGAGCTCCAGTGCATCTCGGTTTTCAATCATAGTCTAATTAAAGTTTATTTATGGTGTAAACTAAGAAAGCAGTATTTATTTCATAACGATTTTTTACTAGAAATATTGTTGATTATAATTTCTAGTTTTCTAAAAACAACCTAGCTGAATTTACTTGACAAATCAATGGTTGTGGTTTTTTATTTTCACTTTAGCCAACAAAAAACGAAAAAAATTGTTTACAGAGTAAACTAAACAAAATACATTGATCGTGTTCACTCGAAAAAAAGCAAAAACGTAGTCAACAATATGCTTAATATTAAAAATTTCTTTTATACAAATTGTCTGTTTTTCTTCTATATAGAAAGTTAGTTATTTGTTAGTGTTTTTACTGAGACAGTTGATGAACAAGAACTTCCGAAATGTGCGATTCTTAGAGGAAATTTTATTTTGTGTATCACACCCGTATATTTATTAATTTTTCATTATAGTCACGAATCGATAAATGTTAGGCCGCTATTGAAAAACTGGAAACACTAAATGGCTGATTCGTCCTCGTATGAGATGGCCGTTTTTGAGACCGATTCTAATTTATACCACTTAGTGTTTCTAGCCATTGATTACAATAATAACGCAGAACCTAACCAGGTATTCTGGACCTACTAACAGGACTCAGACTGAGTGTAAATGAACTTATAAACTAATGGGAAGTTTTGGTTTATTTATCCCTAGTTTTCTTCCAATCTACTCTTACACCGAACAACATCTCCTTTCAAAGTAGGTGTTTGTACGATAATGATTATGTGATAGAAATAAATAAAAGCAACATGAACTATCTCGAATACATAGTCCTTCATTTATATTTTCATAAAATGTTCACAAAGTCTACGGAACACATATATCTCTGCTTCGTAAATGAATTATAATTTCACTATTTACGTTAAATATATATGTGTATAGTAAAGGTTTTTAGAGTTAAAATGAATAAATTATTTATGGCAAACAGCTTAGAATTTTCCATTTAATATTATTTGTATGGTTTAATCTTATTAAATTTTTATTCTTAAATCTAATTTATCCCATAGAAGCTTAATTCATTTACAAGACCAAACTAGAGTTATAAGTATAAAAGTTGACTTCATTTGTACATGTTTTCCTTGCTAAAGGAGTACATGATATGATGGAATAGTTCAGTAATGAAAACTCCGAAACGATTGTGGTAATTAATTAGTTACTTTACTCATGAAATCGATTTCAAAGTAATTGTCCAATTAACTGGTTGAATATATTAAGAAATTTAAATTTGAGATTTATGTACACTAATTCCCATCAAAATGTTCGTTAGGAGTGTCTAATAAAGTTAATAGAAAGACAACTAAGTGATCATAAACATATAAAATCTTACCAATCAGTTTTGAGGAACTTAGATACTGATTTAAATTAACATTATCTAACGCTGTATTTCATATAAGATGAAACAAGTGAACTAATATTAGTCTGTAATATCTATCAAAGTATTTTGGTGAATAGTTTCCCTCTGTATCAGTTTTGGAGTTAACTTACTAATCAGTTAGATCTAATCAATTATTCTGAATACACTGATAAAAATACTGATTCCAATAGATAATCTAGTCATTTATAACATGGCACTAAAAAATAGCTGTTCACATTTTCACTACAATCATTTCGAAGTGACAAGAAAACGTCCCCTATTAAGATTTATATTTATTATTGGTTAAAGGTATATAAGAAACTGTGTACGCTAAAGTTCCGGAAATTTTTAACGTGTGCTGTATTAATGTTCAAAGTATGGGACTATTGCATTTTGTTCCACAGAATAACTTTGAAAGAAAAGATCCCATTCTATTACTTGTAATACTTTAATAATATCAACAATAATACACAAAATTTGCTACTCATTGTTTTAAAATTTATATCTCATCAAAGTGACAGAATTCAGTAAACGTTTTAATACTGATACATGAGGCAGAAGTAGTGACTAATTTTGATAGGTAGTTCTCAAAGTTCTAAGGATAAGCCGTAATCGGTGAAATTTGACAATGTTGAGTGTGTGGCAGTGACTCACTGATTGAATTGAGAAATAGTTGAACAGGTTGGGAAAGTAGGACATTGGACGTTAATTTGTTGGTCGAAAGGTTAAGCATTCATTCCGAAACATAAAGACCCTAATTTCGATCATCACTAAAATAGTAAATGTCGATTACCGGGGAGTACCATGCTAGAATGAGGCGGCTGTTCAGTATTTCCTGATTTTCAATTATTGTTTGACTAAGATTAGTTTATGATTGAAACTATGAAACTGAGCAATCTCCACGATATCCTTACACTGATGAAAACCTAGAGATAGTGAATTAAAAGATCCTTATGTCAGACGACCATACCTGGATAGGAGACTAGGCTAAAGGTAGTCTTTACGACTTGTGAAAGGACAACTGCTTCAGGCCAGCCATGCCACTAGTTAACCGAAGTTTTTCATCTATCTGGATAACTTGTCTTTGAGTCGGTTAATCTCCTCGATGCATATACTCTTTAACTTACTGTAAATCTTGAGTCTCAGTACACTTACACATTTATAAGCTTTTTATTTCCATCTCAAACCATATTCCTAATATTTATTCACTGTCATTGTCATTGGTATCACATCATTATACTTCTCATTTGCTTTATGTTAATATAAGAATGACGATTTAAGCTAACGTACATTTATGCCTAGGCCCTTATTTTGCTTATAACTGGCATGATAAGGTAGCCAAATGTGGCATATATCGTTCTATTTCCTTCTACTAAATCTGCAAACAAGTGTGACAGACAAAATATAAGTGAAAGCCCGACATAAAAACAAAAGTGATTTTTTTAAAAACTCTCAAATAATAAAATGAAAAGAAAACCTATAAATATAACAGTACAAGAAAAAAACAACTAAAAAACCCAAGGTATAGGAGATAGGTAAATAAATATTTGTGTGTAGAAAATTTGTTCGACTGTTTACTTATAAAATTCGTATATATATATAATATCAAGCAAAGAATGCATATATATAGACAGATAATGTAAACTTGGAAAGCAAACAAAATGGAGCGGAACGATTAGATACCAGTACTGTCGTCGTTCAATGATCAATAGTTATTTGGATTAGGAAGAAAAACAATTTAAAGGTAGACGAGAACAAACGTAATGACAATGTCGACACGGGGAATGATAAACTAGTAAAGGAGTAAATGAAATGAATAGAACAAAATATCAGTAATAATAATTAACAGACAGATATACTTGTTTATTGGTAGGAAATAAAAACATATTTTGAGTGATTATTATTATTGTATAAGAAAGTTTGCAGGTATCTCTGTGAAAAAGGTTACAGTATAAATTTCAAGCTAAAGGCACTTAATTATGTGGATAAAAACGTAAAGAGAACGAGTGGAAGAAAGATTAAGGCACTTGATAACATAAAATACGAAACGGATGTTGTGCATGTACGTATGTATATATAATCAAGAGGTCATTTGGTAAGATATTATTTGACAGAGTAAATAATAAATGCTTTTTACTTTTTAATTATCAATAATATCATCGTAATTATTTGAACCTATGTCAATGTTAATTTTGAAGAAATTAACAGATTGTCTGTTATGTTTATGTGCATTTTATAGATAAGCAACATAATAAATCTGATCATGGAAGTCAACTCATTTTCTTTATAGTCTAGCCTAGTCTATTTACTTAAAATGATTCAATCATTAATGTAGCCGACCGAGGACGTGAAGATAAATCTATAGCTACCATTTCATTGGCTTGTGATGAAGTTAAAGTTGTTTCTGTTGTTTCAGAAAAATCTGATAAATTTTTATCTGGTAAATCCCATTGTGTTTCATCCGTTATTTGACATGAATCAGTTGGTACATGATTAGATTCATTGTATTCTTGATTAGTTCTATAACTACTGACGTTATTATTACTACTATTGCCATTATTATTAGTAGTAGTATTAGTGGTACATTGTCCTACAGTTGAACAAATACCTTGGACAACTGCTTTCATACAAATATCAATTTGTGCAGGAGTCAATTCAGTAAAATTACAACCTAAATTAGACATCGTAGACCAAGTTGATGAGTTCCATTGTGATGAAGAATCAGAACAATTCATACAATGATTATTTATTGGATTTAAAAATGGTAGTGTATCATTACTATTATTAAATGGTTGGAAAGGTAAACTATTAGAATTAGATTTATTTGGTAAATTAACTAAGTCAGATGATGGAATAAAATTTCGTAAATTTAAACTTGTTATTTGTGAACTTTGATAGATTTTAGATATTGACTGATTCATAAATTGTGTCGTTGTACAGCACGTATCTGGTATACGAAATACACTTGGAAAATTAACAAGATTAGTAAAATGTTTTGAAGCTGAATTCAATGAATCCACCATTAGATTTGAATCAGTAAGTGATGTGTTATGATTCAAATCATTATTACTACAACTATCCGATATTTGTGAAGTAAACGAATTTTCAGATAAACGAGGATGCATATCACTGTCTGTAGAAGACGATATTGTTGTTCCAGTGGTTATTATTGGACTAGTAAATAATGACTGATTAGATGGTACAATATTATTTTTTAATCTCGAATCATTAATTGTTGATAAAATACACTTGGATTGATGACGATTAACAGCACTAACACATGTGAATTGTTTACCGCATATACGACATTGCATTTCTGTAGTGCGTAAATGCATCTGTAAATGAATAATTTTCATGTGATAACGCATACTACTTTTGATCTCATAGATTTTTCCACAAAATTTACAAACATATAGTTTTCTACCATTAATTTGACGTTCACATTCATCAATTAGAGTATTTAATTTATCAGCACTAGTTAAACGCCATCGTTTTACATCAACTTGGGATTTATTTGTCAGTATTGTTGTTTGGCTTTCATATAGTTCTGCAGAATTATTATTTTGCTGATCTAAAATATCTGAAGATATAGATCCATTTTCAAATTGTTTATCATTGTTTGTTGAAGTAGTTTTTCGAATTGTTGAAACTCGATTTTTTAACTGAATTTTAGAAATATTTCCTGTCATATTAATTTGTTTAATGTCGTTATCGAACATTTCAGATGTTGTTGTTGTTCCAGGTACTATTACTACTTCTTCTAGATTAGCACATTTATCAGCAATCATAGAATAATTTTCATCTATATCAATTACACTAGATTCATTTGTGATTGGAGAAGAAAGGCATTTATTTGAATAGTTATTTGGACTATGATTTTCATTTACTGGACTAAATTTTTGACAAGAAGAATTAGAAATAGTAGATTCAGCAATGAAATTTCCATCACGATTTGAAGCAATGCCAGAATCACATAGATTTTCATCGCTTTCTTCTTCCTCTTCTTCTTCAATGAGCACTTTAAGTTGTGATTCTTGTTGATCGACTACTTTACAATCACCATTCTAATCAGATGAAATAACAAAGGATCATACTACATACAGATCAAATAAAAATGTGTTAAATGGGGTATTTCTCGTCAATAAGCATTCATAGATTTGGACAACAAGTATAATTAGATATAGGATATAGTGACATAAAAGTTACGCACGTATAAACTGAAAATTTAAAGCTTCTTAGTTTGTTTTTTCTCTAACAACAGCGGGAGCATCAACTGTTTTGCATCCTAAGGTGTATTTTAAAAAATGATGAATAATGGAATATGCTTCAACGAAAGTAAATTGAGAAACAGTTATCGCTTTTTTCAGAATATTTACTTAATTAGTTGATCGATCGGGTAACTCAAAGATCATTAATCACTTTTAATGAACTAACGCATTAATCCAAGGTGTCGGTATATGAAACAGAATAAAAAAGAACATAAAAAAATAAAGAAATATTTAGAAAAGAGAGCAAGAAAAACACTAGTTGATGTGTGATAATAAGTTTTTGAAAAGAGAATGCATCACAGTAATCTCAGTAAGGTCAATTTTCAGCTATTATATTTATTAGTCAGTCAATAATTTTTAATGTCTTGAGAAATCTAGCCAGAAAGTCTACACTTTTTATACATTTCAAGTCATCAGTTAATAATTGTGTTAATCATTTTAATGATTGACTTGAAGAAAATGTTACGTTCGGCTTTATCATTATAAAAATGAAAGTTCAACTACCGATAACTCGCACTAGGATAGAAACATCTATGATTAAATGTTTGTAACCATTAAAGTAGTTGTACTTCAGTAATTATACTTCAATACCCCACTGTAATACAAAGTGTAATGACGCGAGACATAATAAAACGTTATTATGCATTCAGATATTCTATAGGAATCGTAAATAAAGCAGAATTACATGTATCAAAAGATCCGCCTGGATATATGTCATTAAGATAAATTCAACTTCATGCATAAATGAAGCAAACTCTGGAACTACAAGCTACGCACTTTGGCTCCACAAAAAATAAGCTGTTTTGAGACAATAACATTCCAATATTGTCAACAATCTTCGCATTTGAAATGTCTAGTACGTATTAGTACAATAATAAGCATAGTTAGTCATATTTTAATCTTAATTTCGGATCCTAAATAGCTGAAGACTTAAAGAAGACAGGAAATGCCAAAGTTACTTCCTAAAAATGTAGAACTGAACGTCGACCCAGTTAAACAAAGATATTTTACCACATCAAAGGGTACTTTTTTATACGTGCTGATATTTTGGAAAGTGAAAACTAGCTTCAGACCATAAAACTGTTTTCAAATAGTTTCTGTTGATTTTTCTCATTCTGAACGATGAAGTTATTGCAGTTAATATAAGGAGTTAACCTTTAGATTTATCTCAGTAGTCTAAAAATCTAGCTCTTACACTCTAGTTTATGAATACAAGCAAGTTTGAGATTCTCGAATTTGGACACGAGTATTACTATCAGGTGCCCATAGATGACTGAAGAATTTCGCAACGTAAGTCTCGAAACGTCACCAAACATTTAGTAAGAAAATGATGGCCTTTAGTATAAAACGACAAAGTGTATTGAAAAATAATAACGCACGCAATCTGATGAGTTTTTATTCATGAATAACATTAACAAATCGTCAAAAGAATGAGCTAATAAGTACCATTCTAATCAACATAGACGTCATAAAAAATTCCATTTAGGTTCCTCTTTTAGCCATAGTCATCCACGTTAGTGAACTATTGAGGGAGAATGCTACAACACATTGTCACCAACTGAACTGGCTGTGTAAGATCATGCTTAATATATATGGTGAAGAGTAAGAAAATATTATATTACAAACAGTAATACCCAACCCCAAGAGTCGTGGTATAAAGAAGCCCTTGAACTCTTTAGATTATAAGTACTCATTATATTTAAATCAAAAAATGTTTCTAACTCATTTCAAAATCCCGTAAGACCTATCAATAAAAGGTAACCAGAGTTCAAAAGTAACTAGGTATTTCGGCTTTAAAACTTCCAGGCGAAATTATTCACCTCTCCTTAATTAAACAGAAAATGAGTTGCTATAAAATCTTAGGCTTCGGATAAACAATACAATAGCTGTGTGAGATACAAAGATAAAATTTGCGTGCAGATCTGTAGGTTAGTTGAGTGAAAACACCAAAAATCCGAAAGATTATTTCCCATTTGTAAAATAAAACCACAGTCGATTTCAAATTTACGTTCGAAAACTGTAGGAACCTATATAAATGACCTAACTCACTTCATTTAAAGATTGAGTTTTTATAGAACAAAAGCTCATTGGGGAATCGTTTTTTATCATGGAACGTGGATAAGATGGATACCTACAGAGCGTTTGGAAGCTTTTTAACTCATCATTTTCCCCTTTAGACGGTTTGCACATACTAAGTATTACATAACTGATTTTTTCCATTAAATGAAATGAAATCTGAAATGCTGACAGAAGTTCGTTTGATGACAACCTGTTTGCCAATACTGACGCATTTTGAACCTGTGAATTGTGTATATTTCGGTTCTCATAACCTTACCATTTTCGTGAATTTTTCCAGATACTCTGTATTTATTTCCTGTCCATCATGCTCCCCGCACACATCATCACTACACGAGCACTTCATAACTCCAAAAATGCACAAATTCTCTGTCCAACCAAAGGTCACCAGTAGACATTTCACCGAAGTAAACAAACAATCCCGACGATCCGGAATATGTTCAATATCTACAGACCATCTATTAATCCAAGATACACGACAATGTTTTCAGAATGTATAAAAAGTGTTTACTAGCCGAAACTTTCAACTCGAACATGTGTAAGCAATCTTATGGAAGACAAAAAACTTTTACACTTATGGTAGTTGAAAGTGATTCAATTCATGCAACACGAAATTTAATGGTTTCAAAGCATTGTGCATCATTAATTCGAGAAAATAGCATGATATTACAACATATGTTTAATCATTAAGCATCCAGTAGCTGTAAGAATACCACACTCAAATTTTCAAACACGCTATTCATATCTTGAAAGAAGACTACCTAGGAAAAGTGATTGTATGTTGGCTCAAACACTACCTGTCGACATAACAGAACTTGTAAAGGCTATGTAGTGACCCACTTTTATCAAGAGAACGCGATGGGTTTAATGGAAACAATCGTTGTTATAACCAATTGTAGCAGTGATTATTTTACTGTGATCGTTTGTTTAACTGTGCTAAAGACAGCCATATTACTACTCCTATACTATCCATTACTTTCCTGTGGACTATGACCTTGTACGCTTGTACTCTCGCCCACTAATTCCGCTTGTATTCCTTTTGTCACGATGACGCTATTCGTTCGATACCACGAGATCGCCAACGAAATAAATCTGGATACTCTCCGTCTTCGCCATCTGGTTTCTCTGGCACGCGCTTTCTTGTAGTGGTGTTCATTGTCAATCGCGACTCGACGCCACGCCAAAGATACTCGCACGTATCTCGAAACTGCCATAAAAGCAGTTAAAAGAGGTTGACAATGAAATCACTTACTCAAACTTTTTGTTAGTCTTAGATTGATGCTGACATACGCCGATGGTCAGGCTTTCCTCAAATCATTCTCACCGACTAAAAATTGGATGCTTACTACATCTGAGTCTCTCTGTGATTGTAGATCACAGTAAGAAGCATATTATATCTATTTCGAGACGAACAAGCAAGAGTGAAAAACTATGTTCCTGATTACAAAAGTAGGTTTTTTGTTGTGATGTGGGCTATAAAAATCTGTACTAATATTTGATGTAAAATTCAAAACTGAATCTGATCACCAAGCGTTAAAGTTTATTTACCGTCCAATTACATCGTTTCACCGATCATCTGCCATGGTCCTGAGATACAACATAGATTTCAGTCCCTGTGTTTTCGCCAATAAGCATCCAACGACTTGACGCATACCACAGGTAAATTTTCTAACACGCTATTCATATCCTGAAAGACAACCATAGAAAAGTGATTGTGTAACAGCTCAGGTTGGATGGTTAAGAGTTGACCCCAAACAACCAAGCTTATGCCAAAACAGTATTGTTCAAGTATTCATTCACTTCCTTGTTTTGTATAAGCGTGATATTCCCTATTATCTTATATTGAATGTTGAGAGCCTTTGTTTGTCTGAACAGATAATCCCACGCTCCACTGTTACCGCGCTAAGATCGAAATAAAGACCTATTCACTACTTCGCTGGTTACTTCTATCAATAGCACGAGGGTTACTTTAAGGCACGAAATTGGTGAGCCCTTTTTGAACACAAATTTAACCTCATTTCTTTTATTAACATTTTTTCTACTTAATCGTAAAAGTAGACCTGATTATCCGTAAACTAATTTGAGTATATAACTAGTTTGTTCCGTATTATCTTAAGTTATTCGTGTTATAGTAACCACTTTTTGTGCTAACTTTATTGCTATATTTATCATATACCTCATGTCAGACTTAATAGAAACCCATAATCTGGAGGATTTGTCACCAGTGGAGATAGACACTGTTATGACTACGAAATCTCGACTTCCAGAATTTGATCGTAGTGATCCTGAGTTGTGGTTTGCTCAACTAGAGCATTATTTCACGAGACACAATATCAAATCTGAAGGGATTCGCTATAGAGACTTGTGTTCTATCCTTCCTACTTCAGTCCCCAAAGAAGTCCGTGACTTGATTTTAAGTCCACCATCACCACAACCATACACCATCTTAAGACGAGAGATAATGAACCGTTTATCATTATCAGATAGTCAAAGAATCCAAAGACTTTTTCAAGGTGAAACACTAGGTGATCGGTCGCCGTCACAGTTTTTACGTCACCTCCAAGTCTTAGTGGGTGATAACACAGTGGGTGAAGCAGTCCTAAAACAAGGATGGATACAAGCTCTCCCATGCTACGTCCAACACTGTTTGGATGCACAGGATCCTGAAACCTCATTATCTCATTTAGCGCGTATAGCCGACAGAATAATGGAAAGAGGTCCTCCAACTGGATCAGGCACAATAAATCACACACAAAATGTAGAATCAGCAAAAGACCCCGTCATAGAAGGACTCATTGCGAGTGTTAAGAGTCTCACTGAGGCTGTCACCAGAATGCAAATGGGTCATAGGAACAGGAGCAGGTCACCACAACGACCACGATCCAAGCCACAAAACAGGTCACAAATGTCCAGACAATCTGGGCAGTTTTGTTGGTACCACTGGAAATTTGGTGTCAACTTAACCAAGTGCATGCAACCATGCGCCTGGCCTAAGCATAATTCTAAGACAGCGGGAAACGAGTAACCCCTCCCCAAGTCGCGACGACTGAGGAGGGGCGCCTAAACAGTCGCTTGTTTTATGTTAGAGACAGAAACTCGGGCTTGAATTTCTTGGTGGATACTGGCGCTGCTCTTAGCATCATCCCTCAAAATAAAACTGAGATTAGTCGAGAAACATCATCAATTACACTTCAAGCTGCAAATAAAACTAAAATTGCGACATTTGGGCAGAAAACTTTAACCCTAGATTTGGGGTTCAGGAGGCAATTCCCTTGGGTTTTCACGGTAGCCGACCTAGATCTGGCAATACTGGGGATGGACTTTCTAGAGAGATACGAATTTCTAGTTGACACCAAGAAACGGCGATTAACACTAAAAGAAACTTCGTATTACACAAAAGGCAAAGAAAGTCACATCAACTCTCTTAACTTGATTCAAACTCCCCCAGTAACAACAGCGAAATTCCAAGATATACTCGCGGAATTTCCAAACTTAACTAAACCAAACCCACAGCCTTCTAAAGACAAACTAAAAGTGAGTCACACTATCAAAACCGAAGGTGCACCGGTGTTTGCAAAACCCAGGAGACTAGCACCAGATAAGCTCAAAATCGCTAGGGCAGAGTTTGATTATATGCTACAACTGGGTATCATCCGTCCCTCTGATAGTCAATGGGCATCCCCTTTGCATATGGTCCCAAAGAAGAATGAAGGTGACTGGCGACCGTGCGGGGATTACAGAGCCCTAAACCGTCAAACCGTACCAGATAGGTACCCAATACCGCATATCCAAGATTTCACAAACGGTTTACAGGGTATGAACATATTCACTAAAATTGACTTAGTCAGGGCATATCACAATATCCCAGTGGCTGATGAAGATATTCCCAAGACAGCTATTACTACACCCTTTGGCTTATTCGAGTTTGTACGCATGCCATTCGGCCTGAGAAATGCGGCACAGACATTTCAGAGATTCATAGATAACCTACTTCGAGATATGCCATTTGCGCAGGGGTATATAGACGACTTGTTAATTGCCAGCCCCGATTTGCAATCACACGAACAGCATGTACAAGCCGTGTTGAAAAGACTGGATGAACATGGAATAAACATACATCAAAGTAAGTGTGTTTTCGGTGTTCAAACTTTAGAATTTCTCGGTCACACAATAAGCCCAGAAGGGATTAAACCTATAAAAAAGAAGTGGATACTATCAAACAATACCCCGTACCTAGTTCTCTAACACAGCTGAGAAGTTTTCTAGGCCTAATTAACTTCTATCGCAGATTCATACCAGGTTGTGCACAATTAATGCAACCTTTGACAGATTTACTTAAAGGAAAACCAAAAGAATTCAAACTGTCTTCTGACGCCATCGAAGCTATTAAACAGCTTAAAGATAAACTGGCTCAAGCAACTACGTTGATATATCCGAATTCTCTTTCCCCACTTGCTTTGATGGTGGATGCTTCAGATGAAGCAGTAGGCGGTACCCTTAACCAACTGGTTAAAAACGCCTGGAAACCAATTGCTTTTTTCTCGAAAAGACTCGCTCCAGCCGAAACAAGGTATTCTACCTTCGGGCGAGAACTTCTTGCGATCTACCTGATCATTAAACACTTCCGACACATGTTAGAAGGTAGGGAATTTATAGTCTTTACGGATCATAAACCACTGACGAATGCATTAAAAGCGAGAGCCGATAAATACTCACCTCGAGAAGTTCGACACCTTGACTATATATCACAGTTCACAAGCGATATCCGACATGTCAAAGGTCAGGACAATCAGGCGGCAGATGCTTTATCCAGACTAGAAATGAACATGCTACAGCAGTCTACAGTAAACTTCGAGACGTTAAGACACGAACAAGAGCAGGACCTAGAAATGCAAAACCTACTTAAAACAAACAATTCAAGTCTTAATTTAAAACAATTCCCATCACCTATCGATGGTATTCTAATTTATTTGACACGACCAAGGCAATGCCGCGACCTTTCGTTCCCAAAAATATGCGAAAGTTGATATATAATAACTTTCATTCTTTGTCTCATCCTGGCGCGAAAGCTTCAACAAAACTAATCAATGCCAGATATATATGGCCGAATTTACAGAAGGATGTACACAAATTGGTTAGAGAGTGTTCAGCATGTCAACAATCAAAGATTAATCGTCACACAAATTCACCCATAGGTGTTTTCTCGCAACCAGATGCACGTTTTGCCCATGTGCATATCGACTTGGTAGGTCCTTTACCTCGTTCAAACGGTTTTAATTATCTTTTTACATGCATAGATCGATTTACCAGATTCCCTATAGCCATTCCGATAGCGGACATCACAGCGGAAACAGTAGCCAAAGTTTTCATGCAGAACTGGGTAACCATTTTTGGTAC